CAATTTTATAGGGTTTTAGTCTTTTGAGTATGAGTCATTAGAGACATTCTTACTTTGGGTGCTAGATCTTCTAAGAGCAACAAAGGAATTCAAAGTCTTTAAGTATTCAAGAGACAAATCCGATTTTTTCATAAGGTTAGTAGTTCTATCCATCTTGTACCTTTAACTTCATAGTTTTGAAAGTATGTTGCTATAATAGTAAAACTTAGATCCTAGGGTGCATGTACACTTAACGTCATTTAAATTGCTTTTGTTGCCTAAAATTCGTGTATAGATGCAAAGAAAACCCTTCATTCACATGACCAGTATTCATTAAAGTGTTATCGTTATTCCTTAACAATATTTTGTTATCATTCATATCTTGAAATGAACTCTTTTTGTAGAAATAGTAACTCTTTACATAATCACACAATCATACTGAATGATTCCATGTAATCCAAAAAGACTTCTAATTGGTCATTATAAGGTTAAATCTAATTCCCATTAAGCACAAGACATATAAGTGAGAAATGTTATGTATAAGAACTAAAATGCTTTCCACTAAACTCCATCTTTAACATCTTATGTTTTGTGGTTTATGTCTAAACTCTATTGTAAGTACCAAGATCAATTAAACCAATGTTCTAATAGCAGATGATACACTTCTCATATGTGGAGTTTATAATAGTCCTTCAAACATTGTTTCAAACACTTATAAAAACATTTATATATTAAGTTGCAGATGAAGTCCCAAACTTCAAAGTGTTTTATCAAATCAAAAGTACGTTATTGAAAAGTTTATACAAAGGCATAACAATCAATAGAAGAGATAATGCAAAACCTCTAACTATTTTAAATCTAATGTTATATATTCTTCTAAATATCCTCAAATTTCTTGATCATCATAACATAAATATCAACTTCTAACCTGAGCATATGCCAAATAATAGGCTAGGCATGGGAAGCCTAGTTTGTAATACTAGGATTAAATAAAAGGTATGGATACATTTTAATAAAGGTATAACCTCTTTCTTTCTAAAAAAATCATTAAATCTCTTGTATAAAATTAAGGGAAAAATATTGTGAAGGAAGAAGGTACATTATTATAAACATCTCAACTTATTAACATCAAAAAATAAAATTAATGTAACATGGATAATGCATGATATGGAGCAAAAACTCAAAATCCCAAGTCATTTAATCTCATATCGTCAATATCTATTATCACTAAGGGAATTCTCAAGGTGAATGCAAGGGGAAAAATGGTAAATTAAGCATACATAAGAAAATAACACAAAGTACATTAATCGCATAGAGGCCTCAACATCTTACGTGATAATAGTAGGTTATATGTGAACATCATATGTTGTTTCATCGTCGAACAACAATAAAGGTCGTAGTCAAGTGTTTTTTTTTACCACAAAGTCTTAATTCCCATCCTAGGAATAGATACACACTGATCTTGATTTAAACTCATTTGAAAACTCAATATGTTTTCCCTATTACAAATCTCATTATCAAAATATTTCAATAATGAAGAAGATAAGTATGTATAGTATTTCAAGCAAGGATATACATACAAAAGTTCAAGTACATTGAGTAAATATAAAAATACAATGTCATACAATAAGGATATGTACTTTATGGTAATGTACTTACCTTGATATCGATTGAGGAATAAATATAATTACCACACATCAAAAATCATTAAATACATAGTTACTTAGAACCATATTTCATCCATAGAGTGTCATATTATCACACTAGGTGTAAAACCCGTGTATTACACGGGTTGATTAAAAAAAATAAAATATTAAAATGTAAATAATAAGTATTTTTAAAAAGAAAATTTTGAAATAAATAATGAGGAAACATATTAATTGCAATTTAGTATAATATTTATTACATTTGATACTTTACATATATAACTATAAGTATTATGTGGCTTTTTAATTATAAAAATTAGAAAAAACCATAAATTGACATTTGGATATTATTTATTCAAAAATTATCACAAAATGGCAAGTGTCAAAACTCATTAGAGATTGACATTTGGCAAAATTATCTTTATTTATTATAGTAGATGTGATATAAACAATCATAAGACTAGCATTTTTCATAGCGAACTGTACTCAAGAGTCTCTTCGGTACAGTCTTTGCACGACCCGTGTAAGGACTTTGTAAAGTCATGCAAAATTTTGTAAGGACTATAACATAAATTTGTTAGGTCCCACATAAACGGACAATAAGTTCTTCCAATAGTGAAATATACATCGACTATAAGATACATTTGTAAGTACATATCAAAGGTATTGAAACTTCATTTGCGTCAAAACTCGAGGTATTATCCTATTTTCAACCTCCAAAATTTTTTAATCGTCTTAAGGGCAGATTTTAATGGGTATTAATTATTGGTAATTATTCAAAGCATTATAAATATATAAGGACTCAAGGGAGGTGATTCTTCCAAATTGAATTTTAATCCGTCCACTAAAATTTATATGTATTACCAATTATGCCCCTCATTTAATATTCAAGAGAGAGAAAGATCACTTTTTGTTCTACACCTACGTTTACATGCTAAAATTAGAACCGACTTTTTTTCTTCTCCTTCTTTGTCATTCTTTACAAACTACATCACTCTCATTTTAACAGTTAATCTTTTTTATGAATGGAAAGATCCACCCTCATTATTATACTTATATAGGGCTTGAAACTGATGACTTTGTGTCTCCACATGATCCAAAAGACAGTGTCTTCTAGTTTTATAACTTGTAAGGCATGGTCTGCTTTCCCTTTTATTATATTAATAAGAACTGATAGAATTATGATCGAGAGGTTAACAATAGCCAAATGAGATCGAAACTTATTGGTGTTCTTAGATTAAAGAGGAAAAAACTCACATAAAGTATGAACTTTCCCTGGTCACCATACGAAAGGAAAGAAATGTTGGAGATTACAGTCCATTATTCTATACGATGTCAAACCTTATGAGTAAAATGCACACTAAACACACATGACTGCAAACCGACATATACCCAAAAGACGTCGTAGCTCACTAAAATTGACCCAGACCCAACCCCTAAGAATGTTTTTCCTATTTCTTAGTACAACCATGGATAACAGCTTAAAAGGCTCAAACATCTTTCCTTATTGCTATCTGATCATTAACTGAATCAGCCTAATGGGTTCTTCTGACAATTAAAAACTGAAAACCTGCATGGAATTAGATAATAACACTACAAGAAAAACACATGTACTCCAAGGTATGCCTTTCCCCAATAACCCCACGGAAAGAGAGAAAATCACAAAAAAGATGTGCCTGAGATTGCAGACCACAAACCTATCATATAACTAGTTCTAAATTTTATTTTATATAATGTAAGGTGACTTGCACAATTTTTCTTCAAGACGAAGTGTATGGCTATGAAGCTCTTGCTACATACCAATCAAAGAATAAGAGGTTAAGAGAATTGACGATTCACACGATCAAAAACTTTCACAGTTCATATGTATGTACAGAGAATCTAAGAATCATACGCACACACAGAAAATCAATATGTTTAATCTTTAAAAAACTTTCACAAAGCATTCACATAATTCACAATGACGGTGCTTGAGAATTGATAATAACAATGACAGAGATTAAGAATCGGAGATTGAAACTTCATACGCATACACATGGTTTTAACAGAATCATAGAATTAGAATCACCTACCATTTGAGAGTGGGCTGATGAAGAAGGTGCCCTGATGAGAAAGAGAGAATAGGGAAGGAGCGTCTGTCGTTTGGAAACATATCCTATAATCTTTTTCTCTATTTAATATCTAAAAAACTTAATTGAAGGGCATAATTGGCAATACAAATAAATTCCAGTTTATTGATAAAAATTTATGGTGGAAAAATCAGTTCCCCTTTGTAATCCCTTCCAACGGTTTAATCCACATAGGTTGTAAAATGTATTTGTAAGTTTGTACAAAAGGTGTTAAAACTTCATTTTCACCAATAATCAATATGATTTTGGACGGAACTTGGTAACTGATATATTATTTTCGAAAAATCGAACATATTATTCTTAATATTATTTGTTGCTTTGTTTGCGTTTGATTTTATTAAAGATTCAATTGTAATTCGCAATAAAAATCGTGGGCTTATTTGTTTGTCATGTCTGAAATACAACATGAGATATTATTTTTTAGATGCGTTCATGTGAGAAACATATGTAGTAGACTAGTAGTGTGGTATATGAAGAAGAGACCCATATAGAGGGACAATTAGGGCTAGATATGAACATAAACACTTATTTTGATAAACGATTATTCTATACGAATTGCAATATTCTTAGTATATATGATTAAACAAGTTTTTTGGCTTAAATATTTTTGATGCGTTTGGGAATTCTCTTTTAAAGATGTTTTTTTTTTACCTATAAATGGCCAATATAAGGGATTTAGTCATTATGTCGTATTCTTAAAAAGGTAGCTATTTTATTAAATAGCAACAAATTCAAAGAATTACACACGAAGTAAGCATAGGCGACACCGAATTAAAGCAAGCATTTAACGCGAAACCACCGCCACACACTGTTTTCACGTCACTGTGTGTAACAGCAATAATTTCCTTCTTTTGTTCTAATTTTGGACCCAATTTCATGTAAACACCATGAGGAATTTCGAAGATGACGTAAAATGGATATTCAAAATATGAATTCGAAAACGAAAATAAAAAATCAAAAGAGTAAAAGAGTAGAAACCTGAAATCGTGTTCTCATTCTCGGATTATATCATAAAATTCGATCAAAAAACTGCTATACATTAACTTAATTTTGAGAAGATGAGCAGTAAAAATCAACCAGTTTTTGCAAGATGGAGACTCGAGTTCGTAGGAGAAGAATGTAATCAGCGGTTTCCTGGAACAACTTGTCTGTTGAACCAATTGCAGCGTCGCTTTCGAGTTCTTGAGCAGGTATAAGGTGCTTCAAGGCTTGGAGCTTGTTGGAAACAGAAGAAGGCGACGACGTCGTTATTGATTTATAATGAAGAGATCTAGATCTTCTTTGGTGTGAAGATATTGATCTTCTTATAACTCTTCTTGCCGGAAAATTCTTTGGTCTCCTAGTCGTCGTCGACCCCATTACTGGAAACGAGATCGGAGAAACGAAAGAGTTATTCGGGTTCCGTTTTGGGGTGCGGAGGATGGAGATAAACGGGTGGACTTTGGGCGTTTTGGTGTTTAAGTAATGAGTCGTCGTTCTTTTGCTCATGGTTTTCTGGATTATTTGCAAGTATGCCATTTTAGTAAGAAGAGTTTAAAATATTAAATTAGATCATAGGCTTTGTATATTTATTTTAATGTTTAATAGATTGGTTAATGGGAAAAAACCGATTGCACAGGTAAAAAAATTTGTTATTAAAATATTAAAGACCGATGTGTGAGACCATGTATTACATTGATTTATTTAAAAAAATTAAATATGAAATTTTAACAATTTGAGAATTTTGAATTTATAAGAAAAAAAATTAAATTATTAAAATTAATGAGACTTTAATACATTGAATACATTACATATATAAACTATTTCTAATAAATACCTTACATATTAAATGTGGAATTTTAATTTAATAAAATGAAAAATAGAATAAAATGACAATTGGAAAATAGAAAATTCAAAAATTCTAGAAAATGTCATGTGTCAAAATGAAGGAGAATAGAACATGTGACAAAAACATTTTGATTTATTAGAGAGGATTAAATGTGAAATCTATGTAGTACATAGATTTATTTAAAAGAAAAATTAAATATGAAATTGTAAATGTTTGAAAAGTTTCAATTTATAAGAAAAATGAAAAAAATAATGAATTATTAAAATTAAAGTGTTTTTTCTCTTTTAAATTTAAACAAATAAATTAGATAAATAAACAACGGAAACTAATGAGGCTTTAATTTGATAATTTTGAAATTAAAAAGAAAAGTTTATTAATGAAATTGATATTCATTTATTATTACATTTAAATTAAATAGTATGTAGAATATAATAAAATAGAAAAATCGTAAAATGACATGGGAAAAAAATAAAAATAATAAGAAAAAGTCATAGGACATAATGCATATAGGACAAGTGACAAAATCATTTTTATTTATTAAGAAAGATATATGTTGTTTAAAATAGTTATGTTATTGACATTAACTTTAACATAAGATTATTTACATTAATTTTATATAAATACTCAACTATTTTCAACAATATTACTAAATGACCTATACACGCTATTTGCATATAATAAAATTAAATATAATTCCGATTTAACGTTATTTCTAACAATTGTTATAATCGATTAATTTAAATTTTTTACTTACGTGACTCTTTTAATTTCGATCATGATGTTTATTTAAAATACAATCATTTTAAAGGTAACACTATATAATTTATAATTGGATGTTATTATTGTTTATTAATTTTAAAACCATTTATTATTATTAACTTGTCGTTTCTATATTTACAATATTTAAACCTTTTTAAGTATTTTGAAGAAAAATATATTTGAATAAAAATTTTAAGTTTATTTAATATCTTGTTTTATATTTTGGATTTAACATAATATTTAAATTAACAAATAAATATATTATAATAATCATTTTAAAAGTTTACCAATAATAAGATATTATTTTGCATTTAATAACATATTTTAAATTAATAGATTGGTTATATTAAGTTGTAGATTGAAAGGTCTTGGAGGGTTCAAATGCATAATATGATATGAAAAATGTTTCCTTTATAGTATAGTATGATATGATGATATGATATCATATGGTTTATCGAATTAACCCTTTCTATTAAGCTTGTTATAACATGTAGTGTTCTTTATAGTTTTCAAATTTAAAAACCGAAAGAAATATATGATTTAAAAAAATGGAGAGAAATATGGTAATGTCTAATTCTTGTTGGCAAAATGGATATCATAAATATATTTGTGTGACGTTTAATGATTGTAGTAGGTGAATAACACTCTAGCCTTCGTTAATTGATTTTAGAATCTAGCATTGAATATTTTCAAACTCCAAAAGATACAAAAACACCTAAGATCCAAGCAAAGTCTTCAAACCACCACCAATTCCTAGATCTATAAGATATGATGCTCAAGTGACTTAGAGAAACCATAAGTTGCAAACTTTATCTCTTCAAACCATACCAACCACATCAAAAGGACCAAATCATAACATAAAACCTAGATATAAAGAGAAAAATATTAAAAGATGCAAATTTTAGGACTTACAAAGAGTCCAGAAGATGCACACAAGTGAGGGTGTAAGATTGGTTGGGGAAACAAGGTACCACAACTTCTTCTCCTTTCTTCAAAACCACCAAAATTTGTAAGAATGAGCTCAAAACTTCAAGGGAGCTAGGGTTTGGCCAAAGGGGTCGTTTGGAGGTGATGGAGGTTGATGGTCGTTTGGAGGTGAGGGAGCTAGGGTTTGGCCAAAGGGGTCGTTTAGGGTCCAAGTCTGAAATTAGTGTTTTGCATTTGATGAGGTGTCACGTCATGACCCATAGAGTGTCATGTCGTGACACTCAAAATATCCCCCCCCCCCCCCCGAAGAACACGGCCATGACACGACGTGACAGTGCTTCCCTCGCGTCATAACCCATCCAAAACCCAAAATTTGGTTTACATTTTCATACCTCAATAATCAGGATGTTACAGTATGATTCCATTAGGAAGTGTGGGGACGTATTAGAATAAATATTTACCTACTAAGGTGAATGTGTTTACGGGATGGCTTCTCTTGAATTGACTACTGTAACACCCGCAGATTCGGGCTAGACGCTTAAGATATTATAAGCGATAAAAATGACATTATGACATAAGGTTATTTAGGATAAATGACCATAACCAAAGTTATAGTCTATCTGACAAGGATTCCATCCATTTAGTGAACGCCTAAATCTAACTTCGTCAGAGGAAGTTATGATTTTTCAAACTTGCAGCGCAACAGTATGCGACACAGATGCCGAAACTAAAATCGGTCCATTGTTAAGAAAAACAATTTAAATGAGGTTTGAAGGTCTTGTCATTACCTATCCGTCGATTTAAAGAAAGTCGAGAACAAATATCATATGAGAGAGTTATGAATTTTTAACGGACTTTAACAGTCTAAGTCTGATAAAAATATAACTTTAAAAATAAAGTCAAAGTTAGCCAACGGAGTCTAAACCAAAGTTGTAAATATCGTCGATAGTGACGTGTGGATATAAATCGCGTCGAAAATGAAGCTCGTATGGAGAAGATATGAATTTTTGAAGAAGCGCAAAATCCTCGTGTACGCTTGCGCGCAACGATAGAGTGTGCATCATGCAATGACACTCCACCTATTATTTGCCATGTGTCGAGTAGCTGCTGGAGCCACGTCACCCTATCTGACTATGTGCGTGGCGTGCAAATAAATTTTCCACCCTATAAATAGCAATCAGTCTCTCATTCGATCTTTTCAGTCTACAACCTTTTTCTCTGTCTTATCCATATTTTCCCTAAGTTTTTAGTATTCTGGAAAAGCCCTGAGGTCCTTGAGGCCCGGCCAGTAGTAGTTTTCGAGTAGAAGCTCTACCAGTGCAATTTTCGGACTTCTAACAGGAAAGTATCTGTAAGTTAAGCTACACTTGTATCGTTTTCAGTGTAGCTTTTGATTGTAGTTGTTATTATGAACCTATAATTAAGATTTATCAGTGATTCCAAGTTATTATATTGATTGATATACTTACGCGGATGATATTTAGGCTGGATATAGTGAGGTGTATAAAGTGGGATTTCCAAACAGTATACTTTGTATACCAAACGGACCATACTTCCAATATGATCCTACTTGGTTGTTCCTTACTTGATAGATATAACATCCCAAAAACCACAAGGTAAAAATTTCATTTTTAATATAATCAAAACACCAATTCTGTAACATCCCAAGTTCAGGAATATAAGTTCGGGGTGCTTTGGGTAAATAAGGGAGTAGACTCGACGAGTAGGTGTCTTAACTCGTCGAGTCGGAGCAGGTGTTGGACACGTGTTAAGTGATCCAACACGCCGAGTCAGCGGCGGGACTCGACGAGTCAGTGTTGGGAAGAGAAAACCCTAAATTTTAGGGTTTGCACCCTATTTAAAGGACCTTATGTCCTCACCTCAACCTCTTTTGTTACCCCTTGAGAGTCAGTAAACCCTAAATTGTGTAAACCTCCATTGTTGAGTGATTTGAAGCTTTGGAAGAGGATTATAGTGAAGGAAACTTGTAGATCAAGAGGCTAGCATCAAGGAGTTCGTGTAGATCCAGAATCTACTTCATCTTGGGCACATTTCTGAGGTAACAAGTCGTTACCTTAAGCTTTTCCCTTCTAGATCTATTCATGGATGATGATTTGGGGCTTTTTAGCATGTTGGAATCCATTTCGGGTTTTGGGACTAGATCTAGGGTTCCAACTTCAGATCTAGACTTGTTTGAGTCCATGGGAACATAAAGTATTAGCCCTTTGGCATGTATGTGACTATTCTTGTCTTGGACCTTCTCTATAGCTTGTGTTGAGAAAATACCACCTTGCATGCACGTAAAGTTGGAAACTTTACGTGTAAAACTAGCCTTAGGAGTCCAGATCTATGAGTTGGAAGTAGTGGAATGGACTGAAATCGTCTGTTTGGGGATGACTTAAGTGAACTCGGCGAGTCTGTTCTTGCACTCGACGAGTTGGGTCGCAAACCCTAGCTCATCTGGTTATAATGAGGATCATTGAGTTGAGTGGACTTAGTGAGTTGGACAAACTAGGACTCAGATTAAAGGGCTCGATGAGTCTTGGGGTGACTCGGCGAGTCGAGTCGCGAATGGTGGGGTTTCTGAGTTCATGAACTCGGCGAGTCACTAGGTTGACTCGGCGAGTAGGGTCAACCAGGAAGGTTAACTTTGACCAAGACTTTGACTTTGACCAAGAGTTGATCAGTTTGACTTCCAAGGGTATTCTGGTAAATTGGGCACTTATAGTTATGGTTTCATCAAGTGTTAGGTAGTGGAGTTCGTGGCCGTAAGCAGAAGATTTGATCTTACCTCTTCAGTTCAGCATTTCAAGGTGAGTTATCCTCACTATACTCAAGGGTCTACGGCACCAAGGCCGGCCCTTTGATTTGTTATTTGAGATAGTTACTATTATGATATGATAGCTCGGTATCCTGGCAGATAGGATGG